CCCCCCCCCCCTTTTGTCTTCTGCGAAGAAGGGAGAATGATCGGCACGCCTTCCTGTATTCCCCCCCCCCCCGCTTCACTCACCGCTGACCAGCAACGCAGCTACCGTCCAGAAAGTCTTCATCCTCTTGAATCCAGACCTGGGAACAAGCAGGCGGCGTTAACGTCCTTCGCTTTGATTTATGACCTCGACATCCTCCGGTCTCAAATTATTCCGGCCAATATTTAACGTCTGAGGGGCATCAGGCTTTCGGAGGGAGGGCTTTGGGGCTGTTTCTTCTACCCCACCCCCACCCCCCAAAAGAAGATTTGATGCCCCTCAAACGTTAAATATTGGCCAAAATAATTTTAGAGATGAAAAATGGATGGGTTAATGTTAAGATCATGGAATCCTAAGGCTGGAAGGGACCTTGAAGGTCATCTAATCCAGCCCGCTGCCCAAGGCAGGAGAACTTACACCATCCCAGTCAAATGGCTGGCCAGTCTTGTTTTGAAACCTAGCCATGGTAGGAAAAAAAATCCTTTTTATTTATTAGATTTGTTCTTGCCAGCCACAGTTGTTAAGTGAATCGCACAGTTGTTGAGTTGGATGGCCAAGATCCAAACCGCTTGTGGTAGCAAGAGGTGACTCCGTTTGCCCAAGGGGAGCCGCCAAGAGTCCCTTCCCATGGCCCAGAGACCGGGAAGCTTGGCTTGCAAAGAAGCGCCCTGATTTTGAGCCCAGTTCCGCAGCCGGACGTCACGCTGTGTCCTTTGCTCTTCTTTTGTCTTGAATGCAGATTATCTTGTTTGTTCCCTCGAGTTTATCCTGCTAATTGTTTTAATCTAGAACGATGTTTGGTCAGCCGCCTGGGCTGGGCAGAGGCATGACATTTACATGGAGGCAAGATATCCAAAATAAATCTCTACTGGGGTCCAAGTAGACGCAAAGAGGTGCCTCTTTGCTCAGGTCTCGTTTTACGCCCACCTGCTTCTGAAGACCGGAGGGACTCACCGCAAAGGGGGGGCTGCAAAACGGGGGATAATTTTACTGCCTGGACAGGCAAACAAGGCTTCCTTTTTTCTCCTCTTCCAGGGGAAAAAAATACATATTTCGGGTGGGTGTTACAGGAGCCCAATCCAACCGAGGCCGGCCAGGCTGCTTGAGTTTTTTAAAAACTGGGTGCGACCAAACACTTGAAACCCATTGAAATGGGATGGTTATTTTTGCTCTTCTCCTGATTATAGAGCACAAAACCTGGGTTTCTTTTATGGCTCCACCGGGTCTTTCGCTTCCAAAGAGAATTTAGTTCCAGTGAGGAATAATTTACGCCGTGCCTCTTCACAGCCGCGTTGCTAAGATAAGAACTGCACTGATCCACTTAGTAACCGTGGCAAGAAAGGTGGTAAAATGGAGCAAAAGTCACTGGAGAACTTTCTTGTTTAGCAACAGAAAATTTTGAACATTGAAACTGTTGCAAGTCCATGCCAGTTGTCAAGCACCTGCATTTTGATCACGTCACAGTGGGGAGGCTGCAATGGTCGTAGGTGTGAAAAATAGCCCTAAGCCCCTTCTTTCGGGGCTGCTGTAGCTTCGAATGGCCGCTAAACGAACTGTTGTAAGTCGAGGACTCCCTGGATAAGGATAGCCAGGATCCAAAAGAGGAGAGAGGCCGGGGAAAAGAGCAAAGTCACAGGTACTTACTCCTGGCCGCCTTTGTGTCAGCGTTGGTGGCTCTGGAAGCAGCCCGTCTTCTCCCTCCAAGCTCCCTCTGCCCGCCCCCCCCGAAGACGCGGGTGGCACCTTTTATAGGCAGGGGAGGGGGAGGGAGGGAGGGAGGGCACCCATTTCCCCATTCCTCCGAGCAGGTGATCCTCGCTCTCACCTGAAGGGCCATCTTCAGAAACCTCTCCAGCCGATCTCCCTTCCGGGCTCCAAGCAAGCCTGACCTTCTGGCTGTTGGGGCAGCTTCGGGGGGCAAAGGTCAGCAGCCACGGGCATCTTTCGTCACCCAGCTCTCTTTCCTCTTACGGGCTTGGTCCCCGAAATGGGCCAGGAAGAGGGAGGGATGGAAAGTTTTTCTCCAGAGCCGGGTTTCACGCGGGGCACAATGTCAGCCCTCCCACCAGACGGGAAAGACGTCTTCTTCCTACGGCCTGCGAGTGAATGTTGGCCGGTGCCAGCCATGCCGTTGTGGCATCGTTTGAAGCTCCATGGAGTGGGGGCTCTCCTGGGCGAGGCTGGGGGGGACTTCGTACCTCTCGAGTGGGATCCATTAAGTTCTCTGTGGGGTATTGCCTTCATCGGGGGGGGGGGGGCAGATGTTTGGGGTAAAATGAGGCCATAAGTCAAGGAATCGGTCCTGGGACCTTAAGGCCTTAAAACAGCCAAGTTACGTTTCTACTTCTTCCCCACCGCTGAGTTTTTATAACGTGGACGAGAAGTTTTGGGGAGCCCTTGAAGGGGGGTCTGTCCTGATAAGCCCCCTGGATTCAGCTGGGCCGTTTAGAAGAAGACCCTGCAATTTCATGCAGTGGTCCTTGACTCGCGATCGGAACTGAGCAGCGAAGACCCCCCTCGCCCTCCTCATTCTGCTCTTTCTCCTCCTCCAACCCCCCTCCCTTCTAGCACTGATGATGTTACGTAGTTGGGTCATGAAACGTCTGCAAGGAAACCACCAGCCTTCCTCTTTGTCAGTGCAGATCGATTTGCCCATCGGCTACAAAAACACCCCCCCCCCCCCCCCCCTCAAGATCCCCAGTTGCTGGAAAGGTCCTCTGGGGTTGCCCTCTCAGCCCCAAATTTCAGGGCGCGGAGTCACCCTTTTTGTGTGAAAATTGTGTGTCTCGGGTGTGTCGGCCCAGAGTCTCTCCCTCCCACAAGAGCCAAGAGAGTTTTAGAAGGGTTTTTATTGCTTATTTTCTGGTTGGACCTGCTTGGCAACCTGCCAGGCACGATCAGCAGGAGAGAGACGGCCCCCTGCACAGGAAGTTTGGGTAGAAGGTGTATTTTTTCTGGTACCAGCGTGCATTTTGCTTCAGGCACAGCGCCAACGCCCGGTCACATCTGCAGGCCTCCTGGCACCGGTTGGCACCGCTGCCTGCAACAGAAGAGCCCCGTGAGCGGAGGAGGAAGGAGCCCCAGGGATGAGGTTTTGCTCACGGCTGTGAGACCGAAGCCCCCTCCAGATTGGCACCAGCCTCCTTTCACAGCCCCCCTCAATCCCCCCTTCACTTCTGGGGTGCCACAGCCCCCTCCGGAGAGAAAAGCAGGCGAGGGGCGTGAAGAGTTGTTGTTATTAAGTGAAAATCACCCATCTCACCAGGGACGGTTTCACAAGGAAATGAGAAGGAATTTTAAACAAGGTGAAAGTCAAATAATGGAGCAGTGAAATAAGGGAGTAGGACAATGAAGTAATTATAGGTAGTCCTCAAGTTATGACGGCTCGCCTGAACCAACCTGATTTTACAATCTTTCTCGCACGGTCAATGAGGGAAGCCGGATTCGTTTAATGACAGTGTCATTCATTTAGCAAGTGTAGTGATTGGCTTAACAACCATGGCAAAAAATAGGCTGTAAAATCAAGCATGACTCACCTTGGCTAGTGACAGTAAATCTGGCCCCCACTGTGGTCATGGGCTAACTGTGCCCAGGAACAGTGTGTGTGTGTGTGCCCCAAAATAGCTCCTGCAGGCTTCCTGCAGCCAAGCCAACTCACCACACTGGATCTTCCCCTGGCCGTAACTGTAGCTGTAGCTGGTGATGTGGGGGCGGCACCCCCACTTCTGCAGCTGGCCATAGCAGCAGTCATGCCTCTGACAACACCTGGGGGAGCAGGCAAAGAGGGGGTGACTCCCGGGAAGGAGCCTACGCCCTCTCCTCTCTCTCTTCCTTTGGCCCCCGTGGGGTCTTCCGAGCATTTTGCAGAGGGAATTCTGGGATTTGGAGTCCCAGCACATCTGGAGGCCCACCAGCTCCGCAGAGAGGGGCGAATGACAGCGGGTCACCCCCTTACCTGTCCGTGGCATCCTTGGGCCTCCCTCTACCCCGCAGGCCGCAGTAGCACCCGTAGGAGGAATAATAGGGGACTGCCTTCTTGCCCGTCACTTGGGTGACCATGCGGTAAAGTTGCACCAAGCCCGCGTGGGTCGTGGTCAGCTCTGGAAAACAACGGTGGTTGAAATCGCAGGAAATGAGAAGGATCCCAGACTGGATCTGTGGGTTTGTTCTGGTCTTTGTGGCTTGGCCCTTAAACTGGCCAAGGGGGCTCCAAACTTGGCCAGTTTAAGATTTGGGGGCTTCGACTCCCAGAATTCCTCAGCCAGCCCTGCTGGGAGTTGAAGTCCACAAGTCTTAAAGGGGCCAAGTTTGGAGAAACCTGCTTTAAACCATAATGAAACTTAATTTATTAGTGATGTTCTATGGGATGATACAGGAATCAAGGACCAGAACTGCCGCTTTCATCCCCATGTACCAAAGGGGATGCACGGAGGGATTGCAGAGAGTCTTTGACTTATGACCTCGGCTGGACCCACTACGATTTGATCATTAAATGAGTTGTGTCCAGTTTCATTTGCCACAGTCATGGGGGGGAGGGGAAAGACCAGCTTCCCTCATTGGCTTGCTGCTGTCCCTGGTCCTGAAAGCTAACATGCGTCTCGGAGGCCACACAGCCAAAGCCTGGCTTGTAAGTTAAGCTTATGCTCTGATCCATTACGTGAATCCTGCTAATTGTGGCTTGTTCAGCAAACCATGATTAAAATAAAAGTCAAATTGGATTGATGAATTCAGTTGGACGCCTGCAAGATCCCTCTTCTGATGGGCTCTGGGCTGAGCCACCCCACTGTAAAACCGTGGAGCTGGAAGGGGCCCAAAGGATCATCTAGTCCACCCCTCTGCATGGTCCAGGGAAAGCAACGCAACCCTCCTTGAGAGGCAGCTGTCCCGCTGTTCCTCAGAAAAGGAGAACCCACCACCATCCCGGGGGTGGGGGGGACTCTTTGGCCCTTACCAGAAGTCAGCAGGAACAGCAGCAGGACGGAAGGGCTCATCTTCAGCTGCAAAGGTTGTAACTCTGAAAAATGGTCACACGTCACCCTTTTTTTAGTGCCGTTGTAACTTTGAAAGGTTCCTAAATGAATAGTTATACATTGAGGACTACCAATACAGCCGAGGGGCGACTTTTCTGCCTCTGGTGGTGAAACGCTCCGTGCAAAGCACAGCAATCCCAGGAGGGAGGAGGATTTTACTGCCTGGAGTTATTGGTAAAAATAATAAAGGCAGGGTCCAAAAAATAAAATCCAAAATCTAATCTAATCCACGGACTCCCGCAAATCATCTCATAATAAACCTGAGAACCCCCAACTTCTGTTTTCCAGAGGATGGGAGGCCAGAAGTGAAAAAACAGAGCTGTACTCTGCGCGTGGACAGAAACCTTGCAATGTACAATTTTGCAAGAGCATTTTAATTTATGCCTGCCTTGCTGGAGAAAGAGAATTGGAGGACACTTCTGGGAAGCCGCTGTGGGGTGTGATGCTCCCTCCCGCCCTCCGTCCCGCCCCCCTTACCTGTCCCTGCAGTGCAACAGAGAGGATTCTGGGCTGCAGAAGTCGAACATGGCTACCTGGAGGGGTTTATAGAGGGCTCCAGAGGGACCTCCCCCTTTTGGGGAATTCAGCCCCCAAATTCAACTTCCCTTTCTTTGTGCTTCTTGGAACACCCACCCTCCTAAAAACAGGAAGCCAGAAGGGAATTTTTGACCTTAGCAGTTTCATTTCTCAGCATAGTTTCAATAAAGATGAAAAAGCGAATTTAGGAGAACTCACTCAGTGCAAAAAAGAAATCCGTTTGCTTGGAAGGAAGTCCCAGATTGTCAAGCTAGCTTTCCATTAATCAGCTTGGCTCTGCTTCACAACGACCCTGCAAGGTCAGGCACCTTTTCCGAAGCACCTCCGGACAGGACAGAAAGTAACAGATGGAAGATTGTCAAAGAGAGATTCAACCTAGAACTAAGAAAACGTTTCCTGGCACTGAGAACCATTAATCAGTGGATTGGCTTCCCTCTGGAAGTTGTGGGTGATCCGTCACTGGAGGCTTTTAAGAAGAGCCACTTGCCTGGAATTATATAGGGTCTCCTGCTTGGGTAGGGGGTTGGACTAGATTATCTGCAAGGTCCCTTCCAAATGTATTCTGAGATCCATACTCGGAATAAGGAGGAATTTCTTGACAGAACCATTTATCAGCGGATTGGCTTCCCTCCAAAAGTTGCGGGTGCTCCCCCATCAATGGAGGCTTTTGAGGAAGACTCCCATTTGTATGAAATAGTATTGGGTCTCCTGCTTGAGCAGGGCATTGGACTAGAGGACCTCCAAGGTCCCTTCTGACTCTGCTGTTCTGTATCCCATTCTCTCCATCCGTGCCTCCTTCTCCGGAGGAGTCTTCTCAGGCCCTGCCTTTCCCCCCACAAGGGTTCCAGAGTTCCTGGCATCACAATCCCATCGCCTTCCAGAACAAAACTGCCGTGGTTCTGTCCAGTGGCGGAGAGTCACACAGCTTCGCTTTTGGACAAGCCCGTCTGTGGGTTTTGAGCTTTCCTAGGGGGTCCCCATGGACAAAGGAAAGAGCTGGGAGGTGACCAGCCGAGGGAGATTCCCTGGCATACCTGGGACAAGGTATATAACCCAGCTGAGCCATTGCAGGGCTTCAAGGGCAAGTCCCACTTGTCCGACTTCTGCTTCCTGCCTCTCTTGGGGTGGGTCTCCCCTCCAGGCAAGGAGGGAAAGGGGCAAGGAAAGAAGGAACCCCCCCCCCTAGGGGAAAGTCCCTTTGCATCCTCCCTCCCTCAGCAGCTTCCTCCTTGCCCTGCCTGGCCTTAAACTCAAAGGTTGAAATGTTTCATACTAACCCTTCCTAGTTTCCAAAATGATGAGTGTCTGCGAGAGAGATTTTTCTCAGGTTTCTCTCTCTCCCTGATTTGGGAAACGCAGCTCGGTTGCAATTAAGAAGCAAAAGGAAAGGGAAAAAAACGAGGGGAAAATAGCATTTAAGCAGACCCCCACACAAAAAGAATAAGGAAGATGCAAGTAGACATGAAATTAACCAGGGATTCTGAGGGGAGGAAGATAATCTAACCTAGGAGAGATCCAACCTAGAATTGAGGAGAAATTCCTGATAATAAGAACAATTAATCAGTGGAATGGCTTTCTTTCAGAAGGTGCTCCGTCCCTGGAAGTCTTCCAGAAGAGACTGGACAGCCATTTGTCCAGAATGTTATAGGGTCTCCTGCTTGAACTGGGGGTTGGACTAGAACAGTGGTCGCCAACCACTGGGCCGGGAACCACGGGGGGTCCGTGAGAACATTTTGGTGGTTTGCAGAGAAATGTCACCCCCAAAGCAATTAATGCAGGCTGCACGGAACACAAGGCTGTGCCGCCCACGTGGCCCGCGGGAACACAAGGCTTGCATCGCCTGCATTGCAAACAAGAAGAGGTAGTGAGGGGAGGGGGAAAGGGGCGGGGGGGGACTTTTCCCACTCGCCCCGTGCACCTTGCCTGGCCACTGGTCTGCTTCTTTCCACTTCTTTCTTCTTCTGCTTTTGGCTGCATGCAAGGAAAGCAGCAAAAGCATTTCTTTCTTTCCCCCAAACTCTGCCAGAAATGAGTCTTTGGGACCCTGCGAGGTATCCTGCTCCAAAAGGCTGCCCCGGCAAAGACTCATTTCTGGCAGAGTTTGGGGGAGAGAAAAAAAGACTTCTGTTGCTTCTGCTGCTTTCCTTGCATGAAGCCAAAAGTCTCTCTCTCTGTCCCTCCCCCTAAGAATGGAGCTGGAGACAGTAAAGAATGATTGACCAGTAGGAAAACAGGGTGAGGGATTTTCCTGCAGACTTTTTGGGGGATTTTCCCAGGGTTTCTGGTCCGCAGGATTTAAAATTATGAGTTTGGTGGTCCCCGAGGTCCAAAAGGTTGGCGACTTCTGGACTAGAAGGGGTCCCTTCCAACTCTGATAAGAGTTATTTGTAGAAATGATCAAGGCAGCCGTCTGTTTCTCCTCCTCCTCCTCCCCAGGCACTTCCCGAGATGAGGCTGGTTCACGTAGCCATGGTGCTGGGGGCGAGCGGTAAGTGCTGCTAGGTTCCAGGGTCTCTCCTTCTCCTCTTCATCACAGACCCCTCCCCTCGAAAAGAGAGCGTGGGGCCTGCTTTCCCCCCAAAGGTCGACAGAGGTTCTCCGTCATGCTGGTCCTGGCTGTCCCAAGGGGCTTTCTGGGAAGACCTTCCCCTTACCCCCTTGGGGCGACCTGCTTTCCCCCAGGCCTTTTTTTCATTTTCCTGTGCTGGCTTCCTTCTCTTTCTGTTTTATTTTTCCTCTTTCCCGGTTTGGGACTCCTGCTCGCCTTCAGCTCCACCAAGGGCGGCCAACTTCTTCTCTGCCTGCCTTCCCTTTAAAGACAAAATCAGAAGCATTTATGTGTATTAGGCTTCGTTTTAAAAAGAAATGGGTAGGGTTAGCCTGGCTGGCTGGCTGGCTGGGGAATTTCGGGAGCTGGAGTCCACCCATCCTGGCTTGCATGTCCCTCCTGGCACCCTCTTGAGGACTAGCCTCTTTCCCCTCTCTTTGCAGTGTTTGCCATCACTGCCAACAACCTCCTCAACTTCAAGCTGATGATCCAGCGGATCACACAGAAGAACGTGCTCATCTACTTCAACGGCTACGGCTGCTACTGCGGGAAGGGTGGGCGAGGGAAGCCGAGGGACCCCACAGACACGTGAGTTCAGCCGCCTAACACAGTGGCTCCCCCTCCCCGCCTCTTTTGAACCCGGCTCCCAGTGGCTGCATGACCCCCCCTTCTGCAGCACACACACACACACACCCCGCGGGAACCCCGCTGGCTGTGGGACGAGGCGCAAAAGAGAGCGACAGTCTTCTGTAGCACAGCTGGTCCTCAACTTACGACCACAGTGGAGCCCAAGGCTTCCCCTTTTACCACCTTTCTTGCCAGGGCTGTTAAGTTGTGCAGTTGTGTACAAAATTGGGCAATTTTGCAATTGCTGCAGTTGAGTTAGTGAATCTGGCGTCCCCATTGAGTCAGAAAAGGAGATTACGTGACCCCGGGACACTGCCACCGTCATAAGTGTGAGCAGTTGCCGAGCGTTTAGATTTGGATCACGTGACTACAGGGGTGAAAACTCTTCCCACTTTTTCATAAGTGTGAAAAAACGGTCCTAGGTCACTTTTTTCAGTGCCATTGTAACATCAAGAGCTACTGGTCCTCCTCTGTTTCTTGCCCAGGGAGCTCAGTTGGGCTGCCAGCTTTAATGCCCCCTTTGGCTCAGGATCTCGAAAGGATGTGGAGAATAACAATGAAAACACCCTTCCGATTTAAAAGATTCCCGTCCGATTCACACCAGGAGGGAAACGACTTCAAAAGAGTTTCTGTGCAGGAAGGAAAGTTTTTGTGTCGTCTCTCTCTGTCCAAAATCTGACTTTCGCCTCTCTGGTCCAGGTGTTGCTATAACCACGATTGCTGCTACGAAAATTTGCACCACCAGGGTTGCCATCCATACACCGACCACTACAGATACCTGATTATCAACAACGAAGTGCAGTGCAGTGAGTTCTCCCAGGTTTTGTGGTATTCACAATTTTGCCCAGGGGTGTGGAAGTTGGGAAGGGTCTGAGACGCCCCCCCTCCTGGGCTGATCCTCTCTTCTCCGGCCCACAGAGTACAAGAACAGATCGGTGTGTGCCACCTTGGCGTGTGAGTGCGACAAACACGCCAGCTTGTGCTTCAAAAGGGAAGCACCAACCTACAACCGCAAACTGCAACATTTTCCTGTTGTTATGTGCAAAGAGATGACCCCCAAGTGTTTTCCCGGCCCCGAGTTTTGAAGGGGGGCTCTGCTGACTGCCAGATGGGTGGCATTCAGCCTGGCCAGCGTGCCTCCACCCCCTCCCAGCCCCTGGGCCTTTGCGGGGACTGTAAATAGAGCCTTGTATCTGGGGTCTCCCAAACCTCAATCAAGGATTGGGCCGGAGAAGTGTAGTGTAAGCGTGTATAATAAACATTTATTTTTCTTTTAAATCGTTCATTTGACATTTGGGAAAGGAGTCTTCTAAGCTGTGCATAAGGGAAAATTTCGGGCAGAAATTTAGAGTATGGGAACAAATAGGATGGTGGATCTTGCTGAGTCTGAAAAAAAGTGGTTTAATTTGAATTGTATCATTTAAGAAGCTGTGACTGAACAAAGCTGTGAGCTGAAGGGGCTCTTAAATTTACACGGAGGAGAAGTCTGCACAATTCCTTTGGGTTAAGCTCAGCTCCAAGGCATCATGCAGATCTCTTGGAAAGAGCATGGACAAACTTTGCCCTTTTGTAGGATGCTTCTTGTTTTTGTCCGATTTACAACCCTTAGATCACCTGGTGGCCTTCCTTCCTAATGCTAATGATTTCCTGTCCTTGGGGCTTCCCCGCAATGCTCAGAGACCACTGCCCTCCACGATCCAACGCCATCCTCTGGGACTTCAGTTCCCATAGTCCCCTGCCCGAATGGGATACCAGGGAACATTAGGGAAGGAGGCTTTTGTCGTGGATTTTTGTGCTGAGCTGCTGGGCGGAGCTTTCTGCTGCTGCTGCTGGAGGTCCTGGGTGCAAAATACGCCAGTGGGGCTTCATCCCCCCCCCCCATTTCAACCTACATCAAAATGGAGATTTAAGGGTGGGGGTTGAAGATGCAAAAGCCCACAGGTGCAACTGTGGGTGAGAGCAAAAAACAAAAGGATGCCAGTTTTGCAAGGCAGGCCAGGAAGGCAGGAGCCCCCATGAATGGCCACCATTAGTTTGCAGTCCAAAGAAGGAAGACAAAGCCCTTGTTGGTTAGCTCCAGGCCCCTATGTTCCCATGAAAAACGAAGAGTTACAACAGCATTGCAAGGTAGGCCAAATAGGCGGCAAAAATGGGTTTGAAAGAAGCTTCTTCGAAGACAACATAGTTTCCTCTATACTTTTCCAATGTCTATATGCCGCAGTGACCATATCTGACATCAGAGTCTCACTTCCGGGTTCTTCTAGCCCCGTGTTTACCTTCTCTATGGCAAAAGCTCTTTCGCGCGGCTTTTTGGCGTCATCAAGCGCCACTCCTTCCCGGAAGTGCCTTGCCGGAGCGTCCTGACGCAGGTAGTCGGCCTTCCCGCCGGTTGCTATGGAAACGGGGGTGGGGGCTCCCTCAGCGGGCCGTTGGGCCTCTTCCCCGAAAGTTTCTGGCTGGCGGGGAGGTCGCAGGACCTCTTGGCCGTCCGCCTGCGGAACTCCCTGCCCCAGGAGCGGGCCCGTTCCCTTCCGGGCACCCCGAAAAGCCTTCCTCCTCCTGTTTTCCCCTCAACAACCCTGTGAGGTGGGCTGGACAGAGAATGAGGGGACTGTCCCAGCTTGCGATAGTTGTGGGGTTGCTTGTGTGTTGTGGTTGCGCCCTGCCTACTGACTAAGAAAGATAAAGACAAAGACGAGGGAATATACAGGTAGGCCTCGACAATTTCAATTATTAAGTGAGTTTTGCCCCCTTTCTTGCCACCATTATTAACTGAGTCACTACAGTCGTTAGGCTCGTAACATGGTTGTTAAGTGAATCCTGCTTCTGCATTGACTTTCCCTATCTGAAGATCTCAAAAGGGGATCCTGTGACCGCGGGACCCTCATAAATGTGAACCAGTTGCCAAGCATCTAAATTTTAATCATGTCACCATGGCGATGTTGCAACGGTCGTAAGTGGAAAAACGGTCCTAAGTTTTGCACTGCTGTTGTAACTTTGAGTGGTCAGTAAACGAGTGGCTGTAAGTGTATGGACAATTTGAAGAACAAGGAAAGTAGAACTGATGCTTCTCTCTCTCTCCTATTACAGGGACAACCATGGACTCCGCCAGTCACACTTCGACGGGTGAAATTATCCTTCTGGCAACCAGTTCGGCTGTTACTGCAATCCTCTATGCCGTCTACAGACATAAGTCAAAAATTGCAGACAGCCTGAAGGTGAGCAGCCATTTGGATCCTGGCTCAAAGCGGCCCCTGTGCTTGTTTCTGTAGCATCTGCCCTATTGGTTTGATTCCAACTTTTCAGAGCAGCTACAGGAACTGTTTAAAATGAGATCTACGGGTAGGTTTATTTGGGGATATTTGGGGGTCTTCAAAATACCAAGTCCTTCAAAAGAAAAACAAGGAGGCCATTTGAAGACTTAAACACCTGGAAGCGAGCCCAGAAAAGGCGCTCAGCAAAGCACAGTTTGTGCTGGCGTTCATTTGTATGTGTGATGACACAAATGAATTTAAAGAAAGCCCGCATCTACCACTCTGGATATTTTATTCATGCTTAGAAGTTTTTCTTGCCAAGGGCAGTGAGGTGGATTTCTCTAAAGAGGGGAGGAGGCCTTCTCAATGGTGGGGATCTATTTTGACATGACCTCTGATACTTGTAATTTCACTAGCCATTCGTTTTCTTTTGCTTCATAATTTGCCAGAGAAGTATGTTTGGGGAATGTCTGAAAATCTATCTCTGTTGTGATTCAGAGGATGCTATTGTGAAGTCTGTTTTTCTCCTTCCTTCCCCCAGGGTGCTAAAAAAGTCACCCTGGATCAGGATTTAAGGAACCTGCTGATGGAAGCCCCAGGGAAGTGCGTCCCCTATGCGGTGATAGAAGGTATACCTTTCCTGTGGGGTAATTGTATAGGTGTAGTTGTGTATTTCCACCTTCAGAGTACATCTGTGCCATCTTTCATAAGGGATCCCACTCTAAGCATTCACCAAACGGGTCTACAGATGCTTGACCATTGGGGAGGTTGCTGGCCATTCGCCCTCCTGAGTGCTCTTCTCCAGATGGGGGGGGGGCTTCAACTTTTGGTGATCCCCTCAATATCCCTGGAAGCTGCTCCACCCATCCGGAGGGCTGTTAGATTGCTCTAGACAACTGGCCTCTGATCCATCCATTAGCCACTTCTGCACACTGGGTGTCTCCCTCCTTCCGCTCACTGACCACTGCCCGGTCTCTCCTGCCCGATCAGGTGTGGTGCGATCCGTCAAGGAAAGCCTCAACAGCCAGTTTGTGGACAGCTGCAAGGGAGTGGTCCAGAGGCTGACCCTTCAGGAGCACAAGATGGTGTGGAACCGGACCACCCACTTCTGGTAAGTGCCTCATTTTGGAAACAGGAACTTGCTAACGGGCAAATGAGAACCAAAATGCCAGTGTGTTGCTGTAGCCTGGAGTTTTGTAAGCTATCACATGAGAACACCAAGTTTTGAGAAAGGCAATTGTTTTATTTCTGAGATAAAGTTTTGGGGGTTCACAGATGTTATTTCCAGGTGCTGTAGGAACATTTCATGATTTTTCAGAGGTTAATTTATTTATGGTCATAAGAACTATAAAAATACTCAGTTTCTTCACGTACATGGAAATGATCAAAAAGTTCAGCTTCTTGCTTAAATTCGAAGTGTTTTGGCCTAAGCTAAGCATTGAAATATCTCAGTGTTTCTCTTTTTATCAGTTCCCTATTATGAATTTAATATACATTTCACTGTTTTTCACATTAATTGGTGTTCGGCTGCATTCTCAATTATGATTATCGTTGTCATTATGTCTTGCTATAACTAATGAAGTAGATTTCAGGTCTCTGCCACACTAAAGTCTGTCACTTTTAAAAAGCTGCCTGGTTTCTGGGTCAAGCAGCCTTGTTCCTCGCATTTTCTTTTCCCTCACGGAGGGTGGTGTTTAGATCTGCAACTTAGGATCCAGGCTGGGAAACCATGCAGCTTCCTCGAGGCCGACTCAGTGCAGATCAGGGGTGCTTGCCCCACTTTGCATGACATCCCTACTTTAAGCCACCAGTCCAGGCACTCAGAGAAGATGGGAGCTGTGGTCCAGCAGCAACAATTTCTAGAGACTGTTTACCAAGAACTCACCTTAAAGTCTCTCAGTTTTCCACTGCATGTTCGTAGTGGGATACGATATAAAAGGAGAGAAGGGAGAAACTCTACAAATTGTGCAACGGTGGTATTTTTCATTCTGGATGAAATTTCCCCAGGAACAACTATGAAAAGATCATCCACCAGAGGACAAACACGGTCCCTTTCGATCTGGTGCCCCCGGGGAGCGAGGTTCCCCCCAGCGTGGCCGTGAGGGTCCTGAAGCCCCTCACTGCTGCAGAGCTGAGCCTGGAGACCGTCTACGAGAGATTCCACCCCTCGGTGCAGTCCTTGACGGATGCCATCGGCCACTACATCAGCGGAGAGCGACCCAAGGGCATCAAGGAGACCGAAGAGATGCTGACCGTCGGGGCGGCCCTCACTGGGGTCGGCGAGCTCGTCCTGGACAGCAGCACCATCAAGCTGCAGCCCCCCAAGCAGGGCCTGCGCTACTGCCTGATCAGCCTGGGGTTCGACACACTGCTCAAGCGGCAGGAGTCGAGCGTCCGGTTCTGGAAGGTCCTGACCACCCTCTGTGGGCTGGCCAGCTGTGCCCTCCTCCTCTTCATCCTGCACAAACAGTACCGGTGTCAGCGGGAGAAGCGGCGGCTGCGTCAGATGCTGGAGGGCATCACCGCCGGAGGGGACGCCACCAACGCCTGCGTGGTCTGCTTGGGCAACAGCCGGGCCTGCGTCTTCCTCGAGTGCGGGCACGTCTGCTCCTGCCTCAAGTGTTACGAGGCCCTGCCCAGGCCCCCCCGCTGCCCCATCTGCAGGCAGCTCATCACCAGGGTGGTGCCTTTGTACAACAGCTGAGGGGCGATGCAGGCCCCCCCCCCCAGGCTGCTTTAGGAACTGGTGTGACCATTGCTGTGTAAAACGGGGAGTGGGTTTTGTGGGTGGGGATGGGGCTTAGCTGTAGCTCTTTGCACAGATTGACAAAGCCAAGCGATGTTGTTCCCACACTCAGTCTGGAATTGAACTGCCGGCTGTGGCTCTGGTGAAAATGCCAGAATGAAAGTTCTCCTTCTCCTCTCTTTGTGCGTGTGAATAAATCATCTTTAGACGTTGCCTGTTGGAGAATTCCCAGGATCACGTTTCTGGAGCTGTGTGGAGTTCACACGTTTTTTTATTTATTAGGGCTCAGTGTCTTTGGCCCTGAATATTATTTTTTAGTCTCATTTCCCTGCCTACTCAGGTCCCAGAGTAAAACGGGGTCGCCCTGCCGTTGCTTCAGGGGTAACTTTGGCTATTTGGGCCTCCAAAGAATCTTACATGTGTCGGGAAAGAGATGGAGGGAATTCTTTTTGGTATTTAAGGAGGAGAAAACCACTGCTGTGTTGAAAATTACTGGATAGTCGGGCAAAGCCTCCTTGAAGTTTCAAACCCCAGAACCGAATCTCTTTCAAACGGCCTACCTACCTGGCTTGGATAGGCCAAGCACACAATCCCACGCAGAGGCGTGTGCACACCCAACGGGCATCCTGAGAGAGAGAAGAAGGAAAACTGTGAATGTGCCTCTCCCGCCTCCTCAATATTTAACCCTTTTCACGTAACTAAAAACTCTTAATTTGGTTGCCGTTCCTGAGTGAGCAGGTTGCCGCAGGCGTAAGAACGGAGGTGGCGACTGAGATTCTCTGCTTTTGGGGGAACTCGGTGTTGATTGGAAGGCCGCTTCTCGCCTCCTCTGGAGACCGTTAGGGGGCAGCCTCGTCTTGTGGTCTCAGTGTGCCAGTTTCTCTTGGTGCAAAGCAAAGCAACCAGGAAGCTGGCCAGCCAGTTTAATTTCTCCGCCCCGCCTCGCCTCACCCACCGCATGGCACCTGTTGCCAAGTAAACAGAATTTCCTTGGTGCACCTGCACACTGCCAGTGGTGGTCCCAGGGCCTCCCGCACACAAGCATTGGGGCTGCAGCCAGCTGAGAGGCCTAGAATAACTACTTCATGGTCCCTTTGAATGGACACGAACCGGCATACATTAAAGTGGAATTTGGTTGCTCCCAGCTGATCAGTAAGGATCCATACCCAAGAATTGGGGTGCCTGGTTGAAAAGAAAGAAGGACCAGGGCTGACCGGAGAGCCTCTCCCAATGTTTGAGGGGCTGCCCCAAGGGAGAGAGGTGGGGTCCCACCTATTCTCCAGAGCCCCAGAAGGCAGGACAAGAAGCGACTCCTGGAAGGAAGGAGGGATTTCCCGAGAGGGAAACCGCTTGGCCTCCAGAGCCCCCACTCCCTCGTGGGGCAGCCCCCCCCCCCCCCCCCCCCCCCCCGCCCCCCCCCCGGGGGGGCCCCCCCCCCCCCCCCCCCCCCGCCTGGTAGGCGGCCTAGGAGGGTCTCCTGCTCCAGCTCCTCCAAGGTCTCCTTTCTCTTCGATCAGAGAAGCCTGGCAGGATCGGTCCCCAGGGTCACGGGATCGAAATCCGGATGCTTAGCAAATGACCCGTTTTTATGACGGCCGCAGCATCCTGGAGTCACATCATCCCCTTCTGCGACCTTCTGACAAGCAAAGTCAAGGGGAGGGGAAGCCGGATTCACTTAACGGCCGTGTGGCTCACAGAACAACCGCAGCCATTCACATGGCCATCAGCACCCCTAGCAGAGGAAATGGGGGCCTCGGTTCACTTTGGGGCCGGCCCCCCTGGACACCCGGGGCCCAAGGGCAGGCGTGGGGCGCAAACCTTGCAAGAGGCGCTTGGGGAAGCCAGGCAGGAGGAGGCTGCGGCCCCCCCCCCCCGGGCGGGTCTTTTCCCCTCCGTCAGTCTGTCTGTCTGTCTGTCTGGTTGTGCTTGTGCGCGCCTGGGACTCGCAGCCAAGCCTGCTCCGGGCGCCCATCCTCCGCTCCTTCCCTCGCTCGCTCGCTCGCTCGCTTTCTCCACCGGGATCTGGGGAAGGCGCGAGGGAGGCAAGGCTCGGCCCGCTCCTCCTCCGCTCAGCCCACGCGTGGGAAGCGCCTCCCGGGCGACTGAGCGGAGGGCGAGGGAGGCTCTGTCCGGGCGGCTGCCGTCCTCCTTCCCCTCCGCAGACCGTCGCTGAGCGAGGAGCGCTGCTTCGGCCGGCGGCGGCGGCATCTGCGCTCCGCTCGGCCCGGGCAGCAGCAGCAGCCGCCGCGATGTCGGAGGTGCAGCTGAGTCCCCGCAGGGAGGCGGGCGAGGGGGCGCCGCTGGGCTTCGCCTGCCGCCTGCAGGACACCAGCGGCTTCGGGGCGGGGGGCGCCGGCAAGCGCGCCCCCAAACTGGCCCAGATCGGACGCAGCAAGTGCGGTAAGAGAGGCGGGGAGGGGAGGGGGAGACGGGCCCCACGGAGAGCCCCTCGGCAACCTTGCCAGCAGGGCGGGGGTATTGCACCCCCCCCCCTCAACGCAGCCTGAGGGCGCAAAGCCCATCACCTCCTCCTCCTCCTCTTCCTCCGCCCTGGGGATGAGGGCGGTTGGGTCTGCGCAGGTCGAGTTTCCAGTGGGAAGCGGGACTCTCCTGGGTGGGTGGGGGTTGAGTCGTGGGGGGGAATAAAGCGCCCGCTTTATTCGCCCCCCTCCCTTGAAGAAGGGGCCCGCAGGCAGCCCTTCGGAAGGGCGGGTGGGAAGGAAGGTTGGGGAAAGGGGTGCTGCCCCTGGGGGTGGGCATGCGCCACATGCCCCGCTCCCCTCAAAAGGTGGGCGCTCCCCCTAGGACTAGTTGCCCACCCTAAGCCCTCTGGAGGAGGAAGGGATCCAGGGAAGCCCCCAGCCCAGCTTCCAGGGGAGGGGGCTCAGCTGGTCAGCTCCTACCATTAAGGAGGACCTCTGGCGGACAGTCTCCAAGGGCGGGCAGATGGATCCAAGCCAAGATGGAGCAGAGCTACTCCGCCCTTCCCAAGACGGGGCAAGGGCGGTCACAAACTTTGGAGGCCAGTGTGTTAGGGGAGGGACACAACAACACAAGCGTGTTTGGGCTGCTGTTTGTCTGGTTGTGTCCTCCATTTGTGGCTGTCTGGTGAGCCCGGAGAGAAACCAGTGGGGAGGTTTCTGGGTCAACCCAGCATTGACCACAAGGATCAAAAACAGCTGCAGCCTTTGAGACAGAATTGTGTGGTAGCAAACAACAACAAAAGTGTGTGTACACTGCCATAAGTGTGTCTCTAGTCTTTGTTCCATCCATTTACGCAGAGCCTGCCTTTAATTGGGGGCTACACAAACATCCTTCTCGTTCTGGTTTCAGAAAACTCTTCTGGTGCCACTGAGTCGGTCTTGTGATCCTGCTTGTTGTCTCTCTGTCTGTGTGTGTGTGTTTGTATGTCTTCATTTTTGTTAATCTTGAAAATGCCCGTTTAAAAATCTGAAAGGAATCTTACCAAATTCTTGACCGTGCTATCACCTGCTTCTCAAAATAGCACCAAACTTACCTGGTTTTGTACACAAACCGATGTTTCTTGAGTAACAGGATTGTGTTGTGTACCAGGTGTGCACCTGTGTGTGTGCAATGCATGCACCTCACCCCCTTCTGTACTACAGAGAGAAAAGTGGCTTATAGAGAAACCCCCCTTAAGCTGGACTCCCACAACCCATCAGGCCAGCTTCTGCGGGGTGGGTAGTTGGGTCTCCCAACTCCGTCTTCACAAATTGTGTGAACCAACCTGTCTGCTTTCCCGCTTAGCCTGAGCAGTGAACCCCGGATAGCCCTCAAATTACGTCCATAGTTAAGGACGGCGGTTGCAAAGCAAATGCCACCTGAAAGAACAACAACACCAAAGAAAGAAAGAAACAGAAAGAAAACAATTGAGGTGTTTACTCATCTTCCTTTCCTTTTTTTTCTCCTGCCTCCAGTTGTCATTGAGGATGATCGAATTGATGACGTACTGAAAAGCATTTCAGAAAAGCCCCCTCCGGGTGTCTAAATATATATATGTATATATATATATTCATGTCTCGTCCAGAGACAATAAGTTAAAAAAATGAGGGGAACAAAAATAATTCACCTTTCAACACGAGAACGGGCAAAATCATTCATTTTTTTAAAAAAAATGAAGAAAGGATGAACTTTTTTGGGCGAAAGAGGCAGAAAGCGATGGTGATTTTTGGACTTCTTCAGTGCCACATTGGGATCCAACTGGAGATGCCTTTTAAGGAGCTGCGGAAAGGCTGAACTGGAGCCTTTTATTCCTCCAGGAAGTTCAGTTTTTCAAGTTGGACTTTTAAAAAGTCTTCTGAAAAGAGAAATAATTGGGGTGGTGGGCAGAGAGGGTCTCGGAGTTCTGGGTTTACATGATGACACCTTGCAAAAAATATTCCATCAATTTAATTCTGCTTACTTTTTGAAGTCTCTGGAATGTAAGGAACTTTTTAAAGAGAAAGCTTGAACCAGGAGTAAGGTTATCCTTATTTCCCCAAAATTGGTTTATAATTCTAGTGTTTGACATTTGGGGCAATGCTCAGTCACTCAGGTGCAAATAGAGAAATGTAATTTTATATGGTAAATGGAAGACATGTTTTTTAAAAGTACTTGCGTGCTTTTTAAAAAATGTTCCCTAGCAAACGAAAGCTTGTGTCGAATCAATATTTGCTTTTTCTCTTTGTTACTGTGCAATGAAATAAACAAAACGTGTGCATACACAAACTGTAATCCTGTCAGGAGAGTGCCAAATATTTTTTTCCAAAATGCAAAATATTTACTTCTCTGTTTCCTCTGTAGGGGTTTTGTGTCTAATGCAAAGTTGCTTTTTTGTACTTAAGGAATTCTTGCCTCTCTAAGGACTTTTTTTTACCGAACTGGTTGATCTGCACATAAAGAATTTTCTCTCAATGCCGGCCTTCCTTTTGGGTTTAGTTCTCTTTTGTACTGATTCTGGCCATTTTAAAAACAATTGCATGACACACATAGAATTCAAAAGGGCTGCCTTGCTTGCCATCTGTTTATCCTTCTCTTTGGCTGCATTTTGCAATGATGTCCTCAAAGGTTGTTTGGTCTTTTCCTACAAGCTTTGTGTATCTTGCACAAGAGTGTTTCTGCAATGGGTAATAAATTATGATGACTTAATTGGTGGTTTCTGATCGTGTTTCTTGTACAATCCCCGCCTCTGTTTAGCCTTGCCTGGACTGCCGGGAGCTGCACTGGCAGCTGTGTCATTTTTGCCATGGATGGTAAGTGAACCACTGCAGTTAAGTGAACCATATGGACGTTAAGTGAACCTGTCCGGATATTTTTCCTTAGTTCTAGGTTGGTCCTCTCCTCGATTGTTTTCCACCCGCTGCTTCTTGTCTTGCCTTCTGGGGCTTTGGAGAATAAGTTGACCCCCCCTCTTCTTTGGGGCAGCCCCTCAAATACTGGAAGGCTGCTATCCTGCCCCCCCGGTCCTCCTTTTCGGATGGAAACTCATCAAGGAGAGAAGCAACCTAGAAATTAGGAGAAATTTCCTGACAGAACAATTAACCCATGGAACAGAAGTTGTGAATTCTCCATCCCTGGAGGCTTTCAAGAAGACATTGGACAACCCTTTGTCTGAAATGGGATAGTGTTTTCTGCCAGAACAGGGGGTTGGACTAGAAGACCTCCAAGGTCCCTTCCAACTCTTGTTGTTCTGCATCCCAACCAGCCATTAAGCATTACAAGGAAGCTGGTCTTGAGGACGCCATCATTATTCATGAATGGCTTTTCTAGCAGCTCGCTCGTAAGACATGGATCGCTGAGCGTCTGATGGCTGCTCTCCTCCTCCCAAACTGCATCCAGAAAGGACCTAAAGCTCCTTTCTCATTTGCCCGGCGATGCGCAGAGAAGCCGTCTATTATTCATGCACCGAGGGGGCCAGGCTACAAAAGGCCTCTCAACGCGTCCTTTGTGGACGCCGCCGGACAGAGGGGGACGTGCCTCTGGCTCGTGTCCAGTGCATCGTGGCTGCACCCTGCAGGCTTATCCAGCCCTCCAGTGAAAGACCAAGGAAAGGGTCCTGCTGGGAAAAGCTGGGGGGGGGCACATGATAGCCTCTTCCAATATCTGAGGGGCTGCCACAGAGACGGGAGGGGTTCCACCTACTCTCCAAAGCCCCCAAAGGCAGGAGAAGAAGCAACAGACGGATTTTTGAACTGCTCCCCTCCACGGCGGTGGGTGCTCCATCACTGTGAGAAGAGAGTGAGCAGCCACTTGTCTGGAACGGTCTAGGCTGGGGTCTCCTGCTTGACCAGGGGGTTGGACTAGTAGACCTCCCAGGTCCCTTCCAACTCTGTGATTCTATTCTAAGGACCTCCGTGTTGGGAGGACAAAGTGGGTCCCTTTGGGGCAGGGTCTGCCTTCACCCACTGCCTCCACAGGAGGGTTTTCAAGGCTGGACGGCCTCCGGGGACCACCTTTCTTTGGGAAGCGCCGCTTTCGTCCTCCGAGGGGCCTCCTGCTTGGAAGGCCAGAGGGCAGCCGGGGTCTTGGTTGCTACGTGCAGGGAAGCCGGCCACGGAGACCGCAGGAGGCCCCCCACTGGGGAAAGAGAAAGGAAGAAGCGACCTCGTGGTCCAAAGCTGGGCTGGCTGCTCCGTTGTCATAGCAACCGCAGCCCCCAAACCCTGGGCTTGCCTGTCCTGATGGCAGCTGCTAGGCAAAGAGTTCCATGGGATAACAGGGCTGGAAGGGACCCCCCGAGGTCTTCTACTCCAACCCCCTGCCCAATCAAATGGTTGTCCCGTCTTTTCTACAAAGTCTCGGCTTTGTTCCACTTGCTTTTCAGCCAGACTTGCAGCAATTCTCAAGGAAAGAACTAAATCAGGATTTTCCCTTTGCTGTCTCAGTTCTGCCTAGCTCTGCTGCATCCCTCAGCAGTGAGAGACGGGTCTGCTCGGGTAAAAGCCCCTAAAATGTGTCCAACGAGGCAACTCGATGGGCCAAGAGCATCCTCCTGGGCTCCTAGAGGTGGCCTTCCAAAGGCAACGGGGTGGCTTGGTCCAGCTGGATTTCAAGAGTAAACTTCGGAATGAGATTTGGAATTCCTGGAGAGAATTTTGCACACTCTGAACGCGCAAATCTTCCTCCCTGGTTTCAGAAGGTCTTTTTGGTGCTATGCGAGGAAGGCCTTGAGGTACAGGGTGGAAATGGGATGGAGATCATTGGTCCAAATTTGAAACCAAAGGCTGCCTCAAGTGCCAAAGGAGCCACGTTGGACGTGTAGCTTCTCAGAGCCGGATCCACACAGCTCAGCAACACCCGAAACACAGAAACAACTTGGATTAACTTCTTCAGCAGCGATTGCACTTGCCGGTTGTCATGGAAACAAGGGCATCTCTGTTGTGCGATGGGAACTTGGGGGGAAGAAAAACAGAAGTTAGGAGATTAGATTGCATCGTTCCTCACAGTCCAGTCTTCTGCACAACTCTTGTGACCTCAGAGGCAGAAAGTTCCCAATTCAGGGACCAATTCAAAAATCCACAAAGGATTTGGGAAGTTTCCCAAATAAAGGAGGTTCAAGGTTGATCCTCATCATCTCCCAAATCGGGTGGGAAAGGGGATTGTGGCCCTTGATGAGATCTGGGGTGGAAGCCCTGGATCCGATCCAATCCAATCCAGTGTTTATTGCAGTCACAGGCCAACATGCAAAAGTCCAAAGGGAATTTCATGGAGTTCCCCGAAATTCTGCCCCCACCTCTTCTCCCTCTCCCTTCTTGGCCAACGTCTAACAACTTTATTCATTAATTGAGAGTTTATAGGGGTTTGCTTTGGAATTTTGTTTCCATAAGCCCTGAGTTGGGCAGCCATAAACATTTTCTAAATAAATATAAACTTTGAAAAGCAACTGCAAAAAAGAATTTCTTAATGCCTTTTTTTAACTGCCTTGAGGGGTGTGTGTGTGTGTGTGTGTGTGTGCGTGCGCGCACGCGCAGTTACTGACCTGTGGCACGTGGATCTCCCTGTTTATTAGCAAAACCTTCCAGAGAAAGCAACCATTTTTAGAATCTCATCCAAGGAAAGTATTTTGTTTTGCTTAGTTTTGGCAACAGGCAACGGGTCGATGAGGAAGTTAAGAAGTGACTGTACCACCAGTTGTCCAGAATGACATAGGGTCTGCTTGAGCAGGGGGTAGACTAGAAGACCTCCAAGGTCCCTTCCAGCTCTGTTATTCTGCTTATAGTGAGTTCTTAAGGTGGGTGAAAGGTTTCTCTTTTCACCTGGGCTGAGCTGCTGTTTCTAAGCTCTTGATTCTTTATTTCTCTCTTCTCCTTCCCCATGGTCTCTCTCTCTCTCTCTCTCTCTCTCTCTCTCTCTCTCTCTCTCTCTGTCCGATTAAAAGACCTTTGGGGAGACCTGCCCTGTTGCTGTGCCCACTCCTAACCCTACCTTGTTCTGCTCCAGTTTCAGCCAGTGTGCAATTCTTGAGAAAGCCACAGAGAGGAGCCAGGAGGTTACCCAGCTGAGTTAAAAACAGGTCAGTGTGTTGTCTTGCAAAGTGGGGTCTCTTAGGCATGTTCCTTGCACAGTTTGAGCTTCGACACACACACACAAAACAAAGACACACAGGTTAATTATTCACAACTGCTCTCTCTGAGCTGATTTTTCTCGCTCAAATGAAGCGAAGCCTGTAGGACACGTTAAATCAGGTCAGCATTTTACCGTGAAATAGTTATGAAACCGGGGGGTGGGGGTGGAATTGAGGGGGGGGGGGGAAGAGAGAGGGAATTATTTGCGAAATGCCTGGTTCCTCCAGAGCAAATAGCCGAGGCAGCCTAAATCGGCTCAATTGGTGCGCATAAAGCTGTGATGTGCTTAAGCACACTTCGCTAAGTAAACCGCCATTGAACGGAATCACACCACACATTCCACCAGGGGCCTTGGTTTGTTTGAAGCTGCAATGGTCATCAGTGTGGAAAATGGTCCTAAGTCACTTTTTAAAGTATGGTTGTAACTTTGAACGGTCACTAAATCAACTGTTGTAAGTCAAGGACTCCTCGTACATTGTACATCATGATGGATCTGAAATGGGTCACCCACAGGGCCGACCGTATTTTACAACCTTTTTTGTAGCTGTCGTAAGTGGAGGAGTCCCTGTAAGTTGAAATTTCCTCGACCCACAATGGTTAACCCAAGTGCTTGTGCTGTTGTGCAAAGGTTAACAACACAAGGCTCCACACACAAACACAAGCACACATGCAGGGCTCTGATGCTGTGAGTTATTTTCTTACTTTGAGTCCCAGTGTTTCTTCCTCGGCTCATCATGGTTTTTTAAACGCAGCCCCCCTGGTGGCACCGGGGCCCACCGCCCGTCCCACTCACCATCTGCAGCCTCGCTGCCACGTTGGCTGCTTCTCCCCCAGGCCCCGTTTGCAGCAGCGCGTCTCGGGGGGGGGGGGCACTGAACCCCACTCCCCCGCTCGTACGCCTGCCGTCAAGCGACCCTCAAAAGGAGGACAGGAATGATCTGATCGTCCTCAGGTTCAGCTGCCAGGTGAAGTCGAGCAGGACACGCAGGTGTGTCGGGGTGCACAGAGAAGCGCGTTCGATAGCTGCATCGGGGTTAGTTTTGTTGGACGTTGGTAAGGAATGCCAGGTTGCACTTTCAGAAGTTTCTAGCTCTCATTGTTGGCAGAAAAGGTTTCCTAGGGTGCCTAAATTTTTCCAAGCCTTATGGAGCTTCTGTCCAGCTGGCTTTGTAGATGGAAAAGAGAGACGTTCTCCTCCTGCTCCTGCTCTCTGCAAACCTTTCTAGCACTGATGATGTTACCTAGTTGGGTCATGAAATGTCTGCAAGAAAACTACCAGGCATCAAGGACACTGGAGTCGCTTTTCCTCCTCCTCCTCTTCCCCCTTGTAGTTTTCCCAAACATTATGCATTTTTGGAAAAGATTTGTAATCCAGGTATTCACTGGAGGGAACACATTTCCCTAACAGACGTTTTTATATAGAGAAACCACCGCTGCAAAATTCAGAGGGCACTGGGCAGAACTCCCGGAGGGGCTTTTTCTAAAAGGTCACTGGATTCTCTTGTGTTTTTTTTTCCTTGAAAAGGTTTCGCTTCTCACCCAAGAAGCTTCTTCAGTTCTGACTGACTGGTGGGCAATGGAACCAGTTGCCCTTTGGAAAAAGTGCTTTGGGTACCAGCAGGACCTCCGCATCGCCACAAACATTTCCCATCGGGTTGATTGAGAAGGGTGGGGGGGAGAGCAGTGAAATGTAGAGCATCCTGGGCTCAGCGCAGAGCTGCTCTCTTGTTTCCTGAGCAACAGGAAATAAGCCCCCTCCCCAACTGGGAACCCAACTGGAGCCCATCAGCGCCTCCCAGTGGCTTTGCCAGCAATGCAGAGCAAGAGAGAGAGAAGGAAGGAGGGAAGGAGAGAGAAAGAGAGAGGTTTTTCTTGGGAGTGTCTGGGGGCTTAACAAACACACAGACACACACACTTTCCCAACGGTTTATTAAATCACGGAAGCAGCCACAAATGAAAAAAAAAGTAACTTAAGAAACCAGCAGAGAGAAGAAAATGAAAGGGAAGAAACTCCTGGCTGCTCACTTCCTTGGGTCCTTCCTTCCGAAGGCCACCCGGGGCACGACTGAAGCCGGAGATCAAGGAATCTCTCGAGCACTTGGTCCCGGTTTTTTTTTTTTTTCTTTTCTTTTTCCTTTGGATTCTTGCAGGAGAAACAAAGTGTGAGAGCCGTAATAATGTCGAATTTGACAAGCAGATGCTGCTGTCATTAAGATTTAGGTAGCATTCCAGAATCACCGAATCACAGAGTTGGAAGGGACCTGGGAGGTCTTCTAGTCCAGCCCCCTGCTCAAGCGGGAGACCCTCTAGCATTCCAGACCAGGGGCTGTCCAGTCTCTTCTTGAAGACCTCCAGGGATGGAGCCCCCACAACGTCTGGAAGCAAATCCTCCCACAGGTTAATTCTTCTGATCAATTGTTCTAGTCCTTGGAGATCTAAGAGCCCAAATCCCATTTTTTCGAACTGGAGAAATTAGCAGCTTGGCTCCATCTGAAAGACCGATGGACGGACAGACGGGGGTTCTGAGCGAACGCAAGAGGACACAGCGGAGCCAGCAAAGCTTGTGGTGGCTGCAGAGTGTCTGCAAAGAAGGTTTTCCACGTCAGGGGGGGGGAGGGGGGGCCTGGCTGGATTCCTCTGCCTCCCCGCTGGCCTTTCGGGGCCTGAATAATGAGGCCTGATCCCCCAGCAGGGATGGGGAGGGGCCCCTGGTGAAGGAGGGGCCTCCAGAGAGCAATTAGCAATGCTACGCCTCCCCCTCTGAGATCTGGGGTGCTTCTTCCCGTCCCTGGGCAACCAATGGAGCAGCTCCACAGGGTCTGCCCCAACCCTGCCAGCATCTCCGGGGGAAAACTTTGGAGAAACCTTTCCCCAAAACCCTGAAGTCCAGCCTGGAGGGGTCCACTCATCCGGCGACCTCCCTCCCAGGGCAACACCCCCCCCCCCCCCCGGGAAGACGACCACTGCCGGGGCTTTGCATGCCCAGAAGCACAAGAGGGAAGGATGCCCAACGCCCAGACCTGAATAGCAGGGCATGAGGAAGAGGGGAGGGGAGGGCGGCAGGGCCATCACGGACCCCTCCCAGGCAGCCTGCTCCAACGGGCGCCCTCTGGATGCACCAGGCGCCATGCAACCCAAACCAAGATGGGAGCTGCAGTCCACCGGCGCCCAGAGCAGCCCCTGGCATCACCCGGAGCTTGGATGGAGAGGGATGGAGCTGGGGCCCAGGACGGCCGGCCTGTCTCTGCTTGCCCTCTTCCTCCCCGCCTTCCTAGACATCCTTCGGGTTGTAACACAGCAAGTTGAACTGGAGGTTTTCGTTCCAGTGCCGGAGCAGCACGAACAGCTGTTGAGCAGCTGTCTTGAGGGCCAGCAGGGTTCGCCCTTCCGGGATGTCCTGCTCCCCGAGCCACCGGCTGGCCTTAGCGGCCACCAGCTCCCACTCAATGAAGTAGGAGGCCGAGCTGTGCTCCAGCCACGCCAAGGCCACCGCTGTGGCCCAGAGCATCCCCTCTGGCTCTGTTCGCTGCTGGAGCTCGACATCTAAGAGCCAAGCCTGGACTTTGGGGGTCTCGGTCTCCGAGCCTCGGCCGCTGTCCGGTGGGGATGGGGCCTTCTCTGGGGTAGAGAAGCTCTGGATGGTGATCGAGGGAGGGGACAGGCTGGTCTCCGTCTTGGGGGCTCGGGAGGAGCTTTCTGGAGGCCCACGCAGGGCGGTCTCCTCCTCCTCCTCAGCCTCTTCGTGGAGGTGCCTCCCTGGAACATCGGCAACCCTTGCGCTCTGGGCTTCTTCCGGACCTTCCGCTTTCCTGGAGCTGGTGGAAGGGCTGAGGTCCATGCGGTGGCAAGCAAACGGCGAGGTCCACCTGAGCTTCTCCAGTGGGATGTTGATGGCCTCCGAGAAAGCCTCGTTCAAGAGGAAGGAGCCACAGGCCAGCTGCAGAGACACCTGAGGAGGAAGGCGGAGGAGAGGACCTCAGTGAGACAGTCCTTTCCTCTCTTAAGGCATTATGAGCTTCTCAAAAGGGCAGAGAACGCTGAGGCGTGGCCCCCTCACGTCCAGTTCAACGTTGTAGCCAGGTTTTCCTCAGCCAGCCCAGCTAGAGGATCTCAAAGCATTCCTCTGTAGTTCCTCTGTGGTGTGGATTTTCTTGTGAAGGGACTCACCCGGTGACCAGGGCCAACCTCCCACCGCAGAAGCTCGAAGGCCCCCCCAACAAAGACCTGATGGAGAACCAGGTTTCTACAAACTAGGATGGAAGTTTGCGCAGCATTGGCCTTCAGACTTTGGATAAGACAGGGCAGTGAAATGGTCCATCCCCAAGGCATTTTTGCATGCATTATTAAGGCAGGCCTCTCCAAACTCGGCCACTTTAAGACTTGTGGACTTCAACTCTCAGAATTTTGGGGTTTGAAGTCCACAAGTCTTAAAGTGGCCGAGTTTGGAGAGCCCTGAATTAAGGTGTGAAGTGCTGTATCCAATTTGAAGTGCTGGTTTTGGTTCAGACCCCAGTCCTGGGAATGCAACAGAAATAAATTTACATGCAATTTTTATCCTCCACCTTCTTGTTTAGATCAAGAGAGAAGAAAGTTTGGAGGATAGGAGCTAAATTTTCTCCCCACCCAGCACGCTCACCAGTGGCAGGTAATCAACATTTTCATTGATCTCGTTGCTTTTGGCAGGAAACTTGCCCATGAAGCCTCGGGCAGCCTTGGTCAGGAGTCTGGTTTTGTTAAACGTCAGCCTGGATGAGGAAAAAAGCAATTACACAGCCAGACCCATTTCCCCCTATAACCAATTTTGAGTTAAGTTTTAGTTCATCAAAACATGGGAAATGTAATCTTTAGACGGTTCAGAGAGGGCAATAAACCCTATTTATTGTTAGGAATCTAGTAGCACTTCATATCAAATTTTAAGAAGAATTCCTGAGAAATTTTTCTAAAAAGTTTGCATCTGAGTAAACAGCAAGCACTTTCAGAGAGTCGTGGACAAAAGCAAATTTTACCTGGCACCAAAGAAATTTTCGATGGACTTTTGAGAGGAAACGGATGGGCTACGTAGTGACCCTGTAAAGACAGGTGAACGTTAGCAACGATGGAGCGTGTAAATTAGAGTAGGGCTCTCCGCCACACCTGGCCACTTTAAGACTTGTCGACCAAAGACAATGGCCCTGAGCTGAGCAGACCAAAGGAATAAATGCTTCCCCCGCTCCCCCCCCCCCCCCAATCTGGAAAACTGTGGCAATTCCCCCCTGAGGAAGAAAGTGAGCCAGAAGGAGACAATGGGAAAACGGCATCCCCAAATCAGAAGGCTCCTGGTGCTTTGGTGCGCAGCCTAACTCGGAATAAAACTGGTTGGCTGGAAAAGGTGCGGAGTCCTGGTCTTTGGCCCCTGGAGCTAATTTAAGTTTGGAAGTTGGAACCCTTCCTTCAACGGGTTTGTTGCAGGAAGAAAATCAAGGAACGTAAGGAGGGGACCCTTTTTTTCTGGAAATTAAGGAGAAAAACTAAAGCATGGATGGTTTGATCTGGCAGCCAAGTGGCGGGATTGCTGAGCACTGGACCTGTTCCCTCTCAGGATAAAGGATGAAGGTTTCCATGGCTGGTGTGGGGGTCTGTGCCTCTGTTTAAGGACAAGGGGACATAAAGGACCTCAGAGATGTCCAGGGGGTCCTTGACCAGGGTGGAAAAAGAGCTCCAGCTACAATCTTACTTGCGTTGGGCAGCCCACCGTCTGCTCCGTCATGAATCCGCCCCCAGCTAGTCGAGAGTCCTCGGTGCCGTCGGCTCTCAAACCCGGAGCTCCGTTGGCTAGAGGGTTTCATCAGCAGACCTGAAGAGAAGATTGGGGGGGGGGGCTCAGAGGATCCAGGACCTCCTTTCATTCAAGGGAATATTCTGGAGCAATGAACACCCGACTCCTTCAAGGGATAACAATCCGGCCCAAGGAGAGAAAAAATGACCTGGGTCCTTGACTTACGACCAGAGTTTCCTGGTGGTTGTTAAGTGAGGCACACCTGATTGTATGATCTTTGATTGGGCCATGCTGGCTGGGGAATTGAGACTAGGTTTTGAATGCCAACACAGTATCTTCACAAGCGCTTTGAGCCTCACCTGTATTGGGATATTTAACAATGGTTGGCAAATAGTCGTTGCTGCTCAGGTCAACTGGCACAAACACCGTGAATTTGCTGATCACGTTGCAAGATTTGCTGGTGTGCACTGCGTTGGCTTGGTACCGCCGTCCGGACCCTGTAGACAGAGGGACCCAAAATGTCAGAAAAATGTCATATTAGTTGGATTCAGTTAATATTCACACCTCTTTCTAACTCCCGTCCTTTTTGCTGCTCAAAACCTTCTCCAAACACCAGGTGGAAAATGCAGGTTTTTAAAATCCTTTTCTGGTCCATCACAGCTGGGGGACTTAAGACCCCAGACCCATTTACAGACTAGAGTCCCCTGCTTTGCATTCAACGCCCAGGCATGAATTTAACAGCAGTGTGGAGTTTGCCTTGCAGATGCTCAGTGACCAATTGAGTCTTGTTCCAATTCTGGGCAAGAAAGAAATCCGCCTTTTTCTGGAGAAAATAACCCAATCTCGTCAGAAAAGAATATATGTAGGGCAATTCCAACCGCTCCCTCTGGAAAAGTCTCCCCAGAGGAAGGGGCAGCTGAGAAACCAGCGACGGACTGATCATGGGGGCCGACTAAAGAAGACCAGAATTGGATCCAGGGGTGCCCAAATACCATGCTCGATCTCAAACTCCCTCTCGGCCAGCTGCTCGAAGTCCTGGACGATGGACTTGGCAGCCAGGTGGTGGAAAGTCTCATTCCAGATGTCTTCTTCTTCCTCCTGGCCCTTGCCTTCTTCTCTGCTTTGGAAGAGGGGGCCGAGGTCGAAGGTTATCTCCCACTTGACCGGTTCGCCACTCTGGAGCCCCTTCACCAGGGCCTTGCAGAGCGACCTTCGAGACCCCCTCCAGCCACCACCAGCCGAGGAACCCAGTTCTGGATCAGGAAGGTCCCAATCCGAGGTGGACTCTGTTTCAAAGTTGAAGGAAGGATGTTGGGCAGACTCTGCAAGGAACGTCAGATGGTCACCCGTGGTGGGAATCCTTAAGCCACATGGGGTTATCTAACCTGCTTTCTGGGCAGGGGGTCCTTGTCCCTCTCTGGAGAGCCTTACCAGAGGAAGCAAGACCTCCCCTAAAACAGCCAGATGGCTCTGATCCCCCTCCCCCAAATTCTCCTCTCCTCTGCAAGAAATTTGGAAGGCAATTTTGCAGAATGAGAACTTGGAGGAAACCTGCAGGGTTGTTGCACGCAACACAAAGAAGAACTCAACTTATGGGATGCTCCCTTTGCAAAGGGCTCGGTTCCCTCTCTCTGTGGGTGCGTGTGAATGCGTGCGCCCCCAAAGCCACCCAACACGAGAGGCCTTGTGGTTGCCTTGTTGGGTCACCTTGTTGGGTCTACAAGCTGACCGCCCAGCTCAGAGAGCATCATCCGAGAGTCAACGCAAGCCCCCCTCGCAGCTTACCCAGTTCTCCAGGGCTTCGGCTGTCCGAGGACATGTGTCCCGAAAGGGCGCTGGCGTCTTGGGGGCCCCTGGATCCTGCCCCCGCCTGCGTGGGGCCCCAGTGCATCTGCCGCAGGTCCTGGAGCAGAGACGGCCGCTGTGCGCTGACTCCTCGGATCTTCTTCGGGGTTGGGGTGGGGCTGGCTGTGAGGGGCTGATCAGAGGGAGACATTTGAGGGGAGAGGAGGAGGAGGAGACGCACACGCGTGACTCAGCAAATGCGCTCCTGAGACACAGTCCCCAAAACCAGGGCCCGCCCTGTACTGGGAGTCCTCGGCTTACAACAGGCCGTGCAGCGACTGTTCGGAGCACTGAAAAGAGTGACTTACGACCGTTTTTCACCCTTGCGACAGTTGCAGCGCCCCAGGGTCACCTGATCAAAATCCAGACCTTTGGCAACTGACTCATGACGGTTGCAGGGTCCCGTGATGCCCCCTTTGCGAAGTTAATGGGGAAGTCGGACTTCCTTCATGGCCGTGTGACTAACTTGACAAGTGAAGCGTCTCACTTAACAGCAGTGGCCAAGCCCACTTTGCAGCCACCCCGCTTGGCAACAGAGACGTGAGTGGAGGACCACCTGAAATGCCCCCCCGCCCAGGGCAGAGGACACACGGCTTTGCCCTGGGCCGCTTCCCACTCCAGGGTAAACGTCAGGTGAGGAAGCAACAACGGCGCCAGCGCACACACGGATCCTGCCACGGCTGCCCTTGGGATGCGACAGGCACCTCCGAGCCGAAGGGATCTGGGGGGCAGAGCAACAAACCAGCGGGGGGGGGGGGGCACTGCCGCCCACCAATCCCAGAGAGAGCATCGATCCCCCTCACACCGGCACCTCTCAGGGGGCCCAAAAGTGGTGGGGTCGTTCCTCCCTTGCACGCCTCTCTGCTTCTGCCCGACGGTGCCGGGGAATCGCCTGGGAGGGGCTGCTTGGTTTCTGCTGCTCTCTGGGCCTACAGCCTCCCTGCTAAATTCCCTTGGAGGCTATTCTCCTGTTTGGGAAGGACGGGGAAGATGGTCCGATGAAACACTCCCACCTCCTAGGCACAGGCTGCACACCCGACCCATTGCTACCTCAGCGCAGGGCCACTTCTTCCTGCAGAAGAATTGCACGCACACTTGTGCGTCCAGGAAAAGAATAATGGAGTAACGGAGCTGGAAGGGTCCCTGGAGGTCCTCCCCCCCCCCCCCCGCTCAACCAGAAGACCCTCTGCCATTCTGGACAAACGGCTGTCCAGCCTCTTCTTGAAAACCTCCAGGGATGGGGCACCCGCGACTTCTGGATCAATTGTTCTGCCTGTCAAGAGATTCCTCCTTATTCTGAGTATGGATCTCAGAATACAGAATAACCTAGTTGGAAGGGACCTTGGAGGTCTTCTAGTCCAACCCCCTGCTGAATCTGCCCTAAAGAGCCATCCTTGAGGTCGAGGCATCCGGGACCCTCACCTGAAGCTCCACCTGCCAGGGCTGAGCGTCCAAAGTGATCCGGCTGAGGTCCTGCAGGTGGACTTTCCGGAGAGGATTTGGCACTGGGACGGAGCTGGAGTCGCTGGCCGTGGGGAGCTTCTGGGGGGGCTCCCAGTCGGCAGCCTGGGTGGTGCTGTAGGTCCTTCGCTGGGACACCATTATGGGGTCAGTGCCTGAGAAAACACAAGGCCTCCGTGGACGCAACTAAACAACAAGCATCCAAAAACTGAACAAGCCAGGCTTGGCTTTAGGCATCCGGAGGGACTTGCTAACAACCCTGGGCGGGTTTGGGAGTCCGTGAAGAGCAGGAGATCTAGCATGTAAAGACAATAAAATTTGCCTCCCTGATGTTTATGCCAACAGCCTCCTCTTGTCCTTAAAAGTTGCACAAATTATCCACGTTCTTATCTTCCCATAAGTTCAACATTCTCCAGTTTAGTAAAAAAAAAAAAATACAGCAAAGGAATAAATGGGTAAAAATGTTGACAATTCTAGAAGACAGTCAGCAGCCGAGCCTGTCCAAACCCACCTGAATCTATATCCGATTCGCTTCCCATGTCTCCACTGCTCCTCTCCGAAGGAAATCCACTTTCGGGGGGATCTTTGGTAATCTCCCAGTTCTCCAGTCCTCCTCCTCCTCCTCCTTCTTCTTGGGAGTGGAAGAAAACGGAACTTCCCGATTCTTGCGAATGCAGCATGCTGTACCGGCGCCTTTTGTCCTGGGGAGAGAAGGACACGTGGGCAGGCATTCGTGGGCTTCCAGGCCGGTGGTTCCGTGGTAGAAAGCCAGGGGACACGGTCATTCAGTGCCGCTTCATGCATGCTCTGTGTGTCAAGGCACCCTGGGCCTGAAGGGCCACCAAGCCCAGATGACCAAGCAGGGGCACCAAGGTCAGCAGGCGCCAGTCAGTGGCGGCCACTCACCAGCTGGGGGTGAGAGACGTACGGGGACGTGTCGCACACCACGCTGTAGGCCACCAGACGGTCTCCTGGGAAAAGGCAGCTGGCGTTGATGGGCGAAATCAGGACTTCGCTTGTTTCGGGAAACACCCAGTCTACGGAGACATCGCTCACCACGGGAGCCATGGCCGCCTTCAGGGACTTGATCATCTAAACCCCGGAGGAAAAAAAGGACATTTTCAGGTCACACGACGGCCAGCGGAGTCCTGATCACAATAACCCCCAATTCATGTAACCCCCAAAGGAAACCCACCTGTTCTGACCCCTCCACAAGACCCCACTTGGAGTGCGGCCCCCAGTTTCGGTCTCCGCAATATAAAAAAGATGTGGAGACTCTGGAAAGAGGGCAGGGAAGGGCAGTGAAGGGGATTAAGGGGCTGGAGGCTAAATCGTAGGAAGAACGGTTGCTGGAACTGGGGGCGTCTCGTCTAGTGCAAAAGAGACCCAGGGGCAACAGGATAGCACTGCTCCAATATTGGGGGAGGGGATCCCCCCATTCTCCAAAGCACCAGAAGCAACGGATGGAAACTCATCCAGGAGAGGAGCAACCTGGAATGAAGGAGGAATTTCCGGACAGCAAACAACTTGCCTCCAGAAACGGCCGGTGCTCCAGCACGGGAGGTTTTGAAGAAGAGCCTGGACAGCCATTTGTGCAGGGGCTGGACTAGAAGACCTCCGTGGTCCCTTCCAACTCTGTTATTCTATTGCTTTTATTATAATGATACAAGCAGCAGAATTTTGCAAGGCTGACCACCTTCTCCCCTCCACGATCTCCCTGAGACCTGGGGAAGGTGGCGCCTGAGACCCCGAGGAGAATGAAATGCCTTTAGATGTTCCTGACGTCTGACGGGCTCTTGTGGCAGGTTTCCCAACGCGGCTCTTCTTCAAAAGAGAGAGTCCTTCCTGCTTTTGTAGTTCCCAGCCGTTGCAACCCTCCAGCTGTACAGTTCTGCCCTCCCTTCGCCCATGATGTTTCTGACAAAACTCATCAACACCTTCTGTGCAAGGAGCTGGCATTTTCTGACCTTCAACCATGCCATCTCTCCCTCCCTCTCTCTCTGTCTGCCGATGCCCGTCTTTTACCTCACAGATTCTGGAGCCAAGCAAGAACCGTATATCATTATTGGGGGGGGGGTGTTCCTTTCATTCTCCCACCCCCTCCTTTTGCAGAAGGGGAGATGGAAAGAGCTCAGGGCTTGTAGCGAGAGGCTCAGCCCACATCCATCTTTGATAGTCCTTGAGGGAGTTCGATTTTTATCCGGCAAGCTTTTATCCAGCTCGCTCTGATTGATCAAAGTATTCTGCTGCAGAGGATCCCCGGAGCTCGCTCGTTTTTCTTCCTTAGCCCAGGCCACCTCACCCAGGTCCTTGTGGTGGAGATAAACGGGAGGAAAAATCCTTTTGTTTGCTGCCTTGGGGCCATGGAGGGAAGGCAGGTTATGAAACAGAGGAATCAAGAGAAATGCATTTGCCTTCTGGGGCTTTGGAGAATGCGTCCACTGCCTCCTCTCAAATATTGGAAGGTGCCGTCATGTCACCCCTGGTCCTTCTCTTCATTAGGGTAGCCATCCCCAATTCCTGCAACTGTTCTTCACGCGTCTTAGGAAGCCTCCTGACCCTCTCTCTCTCTCTCTCTCTCACTCTCTCTCTCTCTCTCTCTCTCTTTCCTTCTTTCTCTTCCTCCCCTTCCCTTCCCTTCCTTTTTCCTCCTCCTCCTCCTCTTTGATAAGAACTGCATCAAATTCACCTTCATCCTGGGATTAAAATAGAAAGCCATTCCTTTAAAAGAGAAACAAGATGGAAGGGGAATGGTTTTTTCAAATGCAGGGGGGCTTTCTCCCCTGAACAGCCTCAACTGATTCACTGATGATGTAAAGCTGCTATTATTATTATTATTATTATTATTATTATTATTATTATTATTATTATTATTATTATTATTATTATTA